TTGAAAAATAAAAAAAAATTAAATTAAATAAAAAAAATATCTTTTTTAAAGTAGTGCTGAATTCCTGGTAATAATTAAATAAATAAATGTAGTGCTAATGAGAAATGATGGTCATAGTGATGGGAATAAATAAGCAAATTAAAGATATATTTAAAGCTCATAGGTCTTGCTGATGGATTAGCTATCTATTATAAGAAAAAAAGAAAAAAAAGATGACTATTATGTATTTGCCATTAAACAGCTGGCAGGCTAGGGAACAGTTGGTAAAGGGTAAGCATAGCAGTTTAGAGTTCTTTTTGCAATGCTAGAGATTGCACCTGGGGCCTTGTACATGCTAGGCAAGCACCCAAATTCTGAGCTATTTCCCCAGCCAGAGTTTCATTTTGGCAAGTAAATTTAAGATGCCAATTAGATCTCCAAGTGAAAATATTGAATATATTAGCTAATCTTACAAACAAAATAGCAGTATCATACAAACTTGAAATCCTCCATTTTGTGTTTCTGTAATTTTCCATTAGTGACTCAAAAGTTCTAACTTTTTCAGATGCTGTGGGTAACATCAAAAGTCTCATCTATTCTATTGATATGAAATAAATTAGATATTTTCTATGACTATCACTTGAAATTGTATCCTGAATTGCCTTTATCCTAAGTAATAATTCTCTACCAGCTTAGGTAATGGTTGCTGTCTGTCTGTCTATCTGTTTGTTTTGTGTTACTGAGCTCCATCCTAAGCCCTTTTTTAATTTTTTGAGATACAGTCTTTCTAAATGGCCAAGTACTGGGCTTCTCTCAAACTTGCAATCTTCCCACAATGCTGGGTTTGTGGCATCCATAGCCACTCCTGCCTTCCACCTGTATTATCACTTACATGAATGATGATGTTAACATGAGGGACAAAGTCCAGGAAGTTAAACATATTGACTATACATTATTCCTTTTCATGGCATGTGGGGATTCAAGTGGGTGAGAAAAGGTTTTTTAAAGATATTTTTTGTTTTAATTGATACAGCAATTATACATACTTAAGGAGTAGAATATGGTGACATCTCAATAAAGTATACAATCTTCAATGATCAGATCAAGGTTATCAGCACATCTATTACTTCAGATATTAATCATCTGTTTGTGTTGTGTCAAAATTGTCTCCACTAACTAAATTGAAATAATACAATTAATTGTTATCGACCGTAATCCTTCTGTATTATAGGACATTAGGAGGTATTGGTTCTTTTTTTTTTTTTTTTTTGCGGAACCGGGGATTGGACGCAGGCCCTTGCGCTTGCCAAGAAAGCTCTTATTCCACTGAGCCATCTCCACTGCCCTAGAAGGTACAATAGGTCCTCATTATTTCATGGTTCGACTTTTGCAAACACAGTTTCATGAGTTTTCAAAAAATATTAATCTGAATTATTTATCATGGATTATTTGCTATATCACGGGATTTTACAGTACCATGCAGCATATATATGTTGTTAGGATTTTAGGATTACATAGGTTTACAAATTTAGAAAATGGTTAAAAACATTAGAAGTGTTTATAAAAGTGTAGGAAAGGTTTATAAGACTGTGGGAAGGTTTTATAAAGTCTTAAAATATATATAAATACTAAAATAAATATAACATCGCTACTTCACTGATTTTCACTTATCATAGGGTATCTGGAACATAGCCTCCAGATAAGTGAGGGAACACTGTATTCTTCCCATCTAACTGCACTCCTGTACCTGTTGACCATTCTGTCTTCACATGCTTCTCCCCCACATCCTTCCAACCTCTCATAATTACTGTTCTGTTTAGTGAGAGTAAAATTCTAAGCTAACACTTTAACATGGTGTATATTTTAAACATAAGTCCTTTTTGAAACTATTAGTAACTAAGTACTGAAACATGTCATATCTGATGATAATATTAGGACAGGATACTATGAGTAAACATCATTAGTGATAACCATAAATAGCACAACTTCCTTGTATTATCCCTGTTTTACAGACAAGAAAGTTTAGGCCCAAAAAGGTTCATCCAGGTAGAAAGTGGCATGCAAGGATTCAAACCCAGTCTAGTTCCAAAGCCTTTACCCTTTTATTTTATAACAGAGTCTTCACTCTTAACTGCTATCATATAACTTATATAGAATTTTATGTTTATTTCAAAAAAATTATAATAATAGGGACTGTACTATATATGAGAAGTGAGAGTCTGTCTTGATTTTGTTCTTACTTTACCTTCTGACATTTAAATTATGGGTAAAGAGAGAGAATAATCCTAAAGAGGATCTTCATTCTCTTCCTTAATTTTGTTCTTTTATTTTCTTTTGACATTATTTTCTTTTGACATTTTTTTTTCTTTTAGCATCAGCGAGAGCTTTTTAACTGTCAAAGGTGCTGCACTTTTTCTACCACGGGGAAATGGCTCATCCACACCAAGAATCAGCCACAGACGTAACAAGCATGCAGGTAAAGCTGCACACAAATTATTTCTTTCATGATTACCTTGTATTTTGTTTTGTCTTAAAGCTGAATCTATTATTCCCATATTTCCAGTAGTTTTTTAATAACGAAAGAAAATATTGTACCATACAACAGTCACTTTTCTTTGAGCTATCACCAATTTTCTAGCATTTATCAGAGTGCTTTTCATACATAGTAGATGTTCAGTAGATTTTTGTTGGAATAAAAATGAGAAAATACAAAAATACTCTGATGAAAGGAGTGCTCTATCACATATTAAAATGCCTGTTGCTACATACTGGAATCTGCTTATTGAATGCATATACAATAAAAAGCTAATTTTTTTTTCTTTTTATGTGATGCTGGGAATTGAATTGAGGGCCTTGTGCATGCATTGCAAGAGCTCTACCACTGATCCACATCTCTGGCCCTAAAAGTTTAATCTGGAAATCTTTGATAAAGAAGGAATCATCAAACTGTTGTTCAAGAAGTAAATGTAAACTCTGGTTTTGAAATATCCACTACTGAAAGTATATACATTTCCTTATGTTGGATTTCTCTAAAGTCAAGTGCACCTCAAAAGAGAGTGTGTCCCATGGGGAAAGGCCTGTCAGTGTAGGATGTATCCACAGTGTAGGATAATCCACTGTTTATCCACCTTTGGAAGATAAACAGCAAATTGTTTATGTCATTCTGAAGACAAATAAAAGTCAACCTGAGAGCCAGGAGTGGGTACACACCTGGGATCCTAGCACTGAGGAGACAGGTAGGAGGATCTCCACGAGTTCAAAGCCAGCCTGGGCTACATAGTTCAAAGCTAGCCTGAACTACATAGCAAGACTCTGTCTAAAAGTCAATCTGAGAATATAGTCTTGATCAATACTATACAAAGAAGTGGGGGCCAGCGATATAGCTAAGGCAGCATAAGTACCTGCCTGGCAAGCATAAGGTCCCAAGTTCGAGTCCCCCATACCATAAAATAATAATAATAATAATAATTGCTTATTGTCATAAGTATGCATGGTGATGATTTAATATCTCCAGGAGTGGAATAAATTAGAGTTACCAGGAAGAAAACAATGAAGATTGCAAACCTTGAATGTGTAGGTCAGAAGTAAAAGCCAGAAATACTGGATCTCACTGATCTAATAGTTGAGCGTAGCTCTACTCAAGATAATCTCGGCTATTTTAGTGGTCTCTATCTTGTTTGGGTCTTTATCAAGTTACAAATATAGCAGTTCAGAATTATAATCCATTTTGTTAGACAGCATTATCCTCCCACCAATACTCTCTAATAGTAGAAAAAAAATTTAAAGTAAGGAGAAAACAATGTTTTGAAAATTAACTTGAGTTATACTTTGTAAACCCTTTCTCCTCAGTGCCCACAATGGAGCTGGGAGGGCAAAGCAGGAAGATATTTCCCAAAAAGCTTGAATGCACAGTAGGAAATAGACCCAGCTAAGCTTTGTATTTCTTTTGGGTGTGGATGTTTATCACTTACAGTAAAAAGAAGACAAATTATTGGCTTAAATTTAGCTTGTCTGACAAGATGTCAGGTGAATTGCCCTATGCATGTGATAGTTAAGTGGGGTCTGTGACCTTAAAGTTGCTGGACCTGCTTGGCTTTTCTCAATCAGACTTTACACTCAAACTGCCACCCAGATTTGTACTGGATGTTGTTCACTTAGGTTTCCCTATACAAAAAAGAAAAGCAGATTTAATACAAGTTGGATAGGCTTGATTTGTGATCCAGACCAGGACAGATGAGGCAGTATAAATATAAATGCAGCTCAACAAAGGCCACAACTTCACGTAAAATGAAGCTGCTTTGACTGAGTTCACAGAAACTGAAGGATGGTGGCAGAATAGAGAGTACATCAGAGGTATATTATACGTAATTGTACTATTTTTTTCTTTTTCTTTTTTTTTTTTTTTTTTCATTTTTTAAGGAAGGGTCTACAAAGTGTTCAGGGTTTCACTACTAGATCCAACTTGTAGTGATCCACCTGTTTACAACCTCCCAAGAGCTGGGATTACAGGCACGTGCCACCACGCCCAGTCTCAATTGCCGGTCTCAGCATGCCCTGGAAGTAGGGCCAGTATGGCAAGCCTGGGCATCGAACCTCTGGCACCTGTGCCTTAATCCACTGAGCTATTTGGCTGGCCTTAATTGTACTTTCTTATGTGTGTTGCTTGAATCCGAATTTTTTTTTTATCTGGGTTGCATTTAAAATGTGCAAATACTATTTTGGCATTTTGTTTTGTGATACTAGAGATTGAACCTAGGGCCTTCACATTGAGTTACATCCCTAGTCTCTCTATCTCTGTCTCTCTCTCTCTCTCTCTTGCTCTCTGTCTCTCTGTGTGTGTCTCTTTTGACACAGAGTCTTGCTACATTACCCAGGCTTGGCTCAAACTTGCCTCAGCTTTCAAGAATGCTGGCATTATAGGGATATGCCCATTTATAATTAAAAATTGTAGGATGAAAATCTGCCAATATGCTAAAGGAAAATTATGAAAAGTCCTTAAAATCAAACAAATTCGAAATTTAAATACTGCAGTGGCAATATATAAGAAATTGTGGGAGGCCCTAGTTTATTACCTCTGTTAGTCTCTGAGAAGAACAGCTTCCCAATAGCAAATAATATTTAGTTTGCTCATAGTGATATTTTTCATAGCTAGCAAATATACCTAGTTCATGTAAGAAGCCTTACATAAGAGCAGGACTCCTGGCTTTTGTCTGACCTTCAATACACTAGCTGGATCTTTGGACCAATAACATCTAGAGTGAGTTTTTTGGCTAGTATCTAGGGTTCTCTTCCAGAATTTTTCCATCCTAAAATATATTTTCCTTGGTTATTTATCCTGGTAGGACAATGCAAATTTACTTTTTAAAAGCTTTAACTGCTTAACTCAATTATAATTGTAACTCTGTTTGTTTGTCATCAGGACCTAACACTTTGTCGTTTCACATTTGTTCTTTATTTCTTTTAACAGATTAAAATACAATTCAACAATTTACCCATTTAAAGTATACATTCCATGGTTTTTAGTATATTCAGAGCTACACAACTATCACCACAATCTAATTTTAGAACTTTTTCATCCCCTCAAAAAGAAACGCAATGCCCACGCCTGTTAGCAGTCACTCCCTACTCCTCCCCTTTTCACCCCACTCCTCACACCCTAAAAACTAATAATGTACTTTCAATCTTTTGATTTGACTATTCTGGATGTTCTATCTAAATGGAGTCCTATAAAATGACTTTTAATATAGACTTCTTTAATGTAGCATAATGTCTTCAAGGGTCATCCATGTCATAGTACATAACATTACTTTATTCCTTTTCATGACCAAGTCATACTGTATTATGTGGATATGTTACATCTTATTTATCCACTCATCAGGTAATGAACATTTGAGTTGCTTCCAACTTTTGGTTATTATAAATAATGCTGTATAAACATTTATGTACAGGTATCTTATATAGACATATATTCCCATTCTCTGGAGTTTGTACCTAGGCGCCTACCCTAGATCTTATATATGAGACTTAGATTATATCTGTGGGTTTTAAAATATAGTAGAACGCATGTGGCCAAATATGACTTTCCTTTTTAGTTTTAAAGTTTGATGGGACTGGCCTGATAGCTAAGTGGACTAAAGCGCCTGCGTAGGCTGAGCACAGCGGCCAGGGTTCGATCCCAGGCATGCTATGCCAGCCCTGCCCCAGGGCACCCTGAGACAGCAATTGAGACTGGGCATGATGGCATGCACCTGTAATCACAGCATTTAGGAGGCTGTAAACAGGAGAATCAGAACGAGTCTGATCTGCATAGTGAGACCCTGTAGATCCTGTAGACCCTGCCCTAAAATACAATAAATAAATAAATAAATAAATAAAGTTTGAGTCAGGTGTAGTGCTACATGCCTATAATCCCAGCACTTAGGAGGCTGAAGTAGGAAGATGACTATGAAACCCAGGCTGGCCTGGGCTACATAAGCCAGTTCAAGGCCAATATGTACTACATAGTGAGACCCTTTCTCAGAAATATAAAATAAAATTTGAAAGTTTCTGCAGTAATGGAATTAGTCAGAAACCAACAGCAAAATGGCAGAGATAGGAGTGCAGTAAGAAAACTGTTCCTCTTGAGAGGAAGGTTGAGAGGAAGGCTTTCAGACGTGCTGACCTTAGACAAACACAGCTGTTTCCCAGTCTTTTTTTTTCCCTGCTGCTTTCCACTTCTTGCACATAGAACTTTATAATCAACAGCTATGAAGTTAATGTGAGGGAAATATATGTAAATCCTAAGACTAATGTGACAACAGGTTATACTGATACCTAGGGTTATGGGGCAGTGTCAGTCACCTTACACTCTTAAAAAGATCTTGGGTGGGCAAGAATCAAGTTTTTAGTTCTTAGCTTGTCACCATTTATCAGAGCACATTTTCTAATTGTCTCCTGTTAACCAAAACCTTAGATTTTCTGGTTCAGAATAGAGAATATGAAGAAATCTTTGATGGATTAATACAAAAAAATTTCAACTTATTTTATAAATGGTATAAGAAACTGTAAGTTTTCAAATAATATTTGTCGGGCTGGGGAGATGGCTCAGTGGAATAAGCGCTTCCTTGGCAAGCACAAGAGCTTGAGTTCAATCCCTGGTTCTGGAAAAAAAAAAAAAAAAAAAACCTCAAGGTCAAATAATATTTGCCCGTTTTAAAGCACCTATTATGTTTAGAAGAACAGATATCCCTAATATGCTAGACTTAATATACATTCTCAAACACTAATGTGGAATTATTTTAAACTATTGGTATTATTCTAGGAAGAACTCTTTAACAATCTTTTTAGGTTAAATCTAATGGAAGATTATAAAGAAACAAGAGAAAAAAAAAAAAGTTTTTTTAAAGTAAGAATAATTCTATGAGCATTAATTACATACCCACTTCAAAAATGCCTTTATTGATAGTTTCAGTGGTCCTGAACACATGCCCAGTGCTTCTGCTTCCTAACAGATCTCACTAATAGATCTCTCATCATCCATCATTGTACAAAACTGAGATTTATCTCAAGTGCAAGGGGCCAGGGAGATGGCTCAGTAGAATAAGTGCTTCCCTGGCAAGCGCAAGGGCTGGAGTTAGATCCCCAGTTTTTGAAGAAAAAAAAAAATCTCAAGTACACATTCTATAGAACAAACCCAAATTTTAATGAATATACTAAAAATGAATATGAAAAGAGAAGCCCACCATTCTCTATTTTAAAAAGGAATCGATAATTATATTATTTGATTTCTATATCTAATTAGTTATTTAGAACCAGAATTTTCTTTTATAAGAATGTAGAAAATCCTCTCTGTTCATTGAGAATGTAGAATAATTATTCTGTGCTTTATAAATTCCACTAGGTGATCTCCAACAGCATCTCCAAGCAATGTTCATATTACTTCGCCCAGAAGACAACATCAGGCTGGTAAGTTAATAGTATCATCATAACTCTCTTCCTGAAAAGACTGCCTAAAATAGCCAATAAGAAAACCTTTTAAAAAAAGAAGAAGACGACCTTTTATAAGGGGTAATAAATGAAGAGACAAGAAAAAAAAAGATATCACAGCACTGTCCTGCTACAATGCTGTATATGGTTAGATTTCTAAATTTCTGTTTAAAAATATAAAACTTTATTCCTTTTTTTAATATTTTTTTATTTTTTAAATTTTTTTCTTCATATTCTGTAGGGACTTACAGTTTAACATATCAGTACTTGATGGAAAATACCTATTCCATGTTATCCCTAAGATGTTTGATATTCAGACAATTAATGAGGTTAAGCTCAACTGCCTTTGTTATAGGTTAATAATAATAAGCTTTTCTTCTGGAGGGTTAACAACCTAAGTTTGCAGACCAAACATTAGAGAAAAAGAAGGGCTACAAGGACAGCCAACGTTCTGGCCCTAGCCTTTCAAGGTCAGTGAAGACTCAGGACATAGGAAAACCTGTACTGTAACATCATGTAATTCAGTTGTGTCCCAAATTTTCTGATCAAGGAGGTGATGAGACCAGAGAAGAAAGTTATCGATGATGTAGAGTGTGCCTAAGAAGAGTCACATGGAGAGAAAACATTCTCTCAGGCTTTCACAGAGAGCAAACTGGTCAAGCAATGGCCGAGACTCATTCACATGGCTCACACTGACAAAGGATCTACAAATTGTAGTACAGGGTTTCAGAGTAAATCCTGAGGGGATTTGATTGCCTTATCAGATACAAAAGTTACATTTCTTCTTATATAGGTCTTGCTTTATCTTAGTCTTAAACATCCAGCAGAAAAGTATAATAACGAGGTATGAAAAGTAAAGCCATATTAATATGCTGAGCTGTAAAAGTTTCAAGTCAACAACTTCTGACATTGCCAGTCTTACAGAAAACCCACTATATTATGGACTACTGGACTATATTGGAATATTTTGCTGAATTCACACACCTACAATATTTAAATGACAATGGAATACCCTTCTCTGACAAAACTAAACAAAAAAGGGGGATACAAATGAATGACTTTAACAGATACAAAAGTTACATTTCTTGTTATACAGGTCTTGCTTTATCTTGGTCTTAACCATCCAGCAGAAAAGTATAAAAAAGAGGTATATAAAGTAAAACCATATTAATATGCTGAGCTGTGAAAGGCTCAAGTCAACAACTTCTGTGGATAACCCACTACTATTGTGGACTGCTGGACTGTGTTGGATTGTTTTGCTGAATTCACACAGCTATAGTATTTAGATGCCAATGGAATACCCATTTCTGACAGGACTACACAAAAAAAGGCGATACAAAGGAAGAACCATTTTGTATCTGTATATGCAGAATATTTAGGATAGATATACAGCTACTTTCACTTAATTCAGTGAGAAGAAAGATTTGTACTAATAGTGTATGGACAGGATATTCTGTCTGCATCTTATACTGCGGATAACCACTAAGAAGATAACAATGTACAATGTATTAATTATTGAAACTGTCCTGTTAATCAGTTTTGAAACTATCTCATTGATATTTGTTTCTCAATAAAATAGAGAAAATAAAACAAACAAATGAACAACCATTTTGTATCTGTATATTCAAAATAGGATAGCATTGGGTTACATCCCTACCAACACCCCTTTTTTTTCCAGTGCTGAGGGTTGAACCCAGGATCTTCACAATGAACCACATCCCCAAGCCTTTATTTATTTATTTATTTTTAAATTTTGAGACAGGATGTCTTTAAGTCACTAAGTTGTCCAGGGTTGGTTCAGAACTTTCAGTTCTGCTTTTACTGGGTTTTGGGTGCTGCAGTTTCCTTCTAGGGGTAGTTTCTAGGTTCTACTTGCCTTGAAAAAAGAACTGGACAAACAAATACAAAAGGTAGTGAGCTTTTATGTTTATTGAATGTAGAAAGAGAAATGTGTTATGTGAGCAATCTGGGACCAAGTAAAAGTAGGAAAAAAGTATACTTTATAGAGTAAAGGTGGACTACTGTGTAAGAGAGAGTACAGTAGCAGAGATCTCAATGATGACTGTTCTTTTTGTATCTCATGCTCTTCAGTCTGATGTCAGGTCTTGGCTGTCCTATCTAAAACTGCTCAACTTATTGCAAAAAGTCTCTCTGCAGGGCTTTGGGAACTGTTCTGAGCATGTGTTCTGGGAATTTGCAGTTAACAGGTCACATCTACTTCCCCGGCCAGGCTGTCACACCATAATCTCCTAGCTCATTCCCACCCCCCAAGACACAAATCTACATAATTCTTTATGGGCTGCTGGGAAGTGGAGGGCTCAGTCTTCATATAGCTACTTCTTGCTGAAAGGGGCTGTAGATCCTACCTACTAGGGATTAAGTGTTTTCCAATGCCTTGGAGTGCTATGGCTCACTGACTAGATTAAATAAAAACCTGTAGAAAGACTATAAGAAAAGAGTTAGTGTCTGTGTATGAAGGACTCTTTAGCTACCTGATGGTAGAAAGCTTGGTGAATTTCTTAGGAAAGTAACTTTACGATTAAGTTGTGGATGTAGAGCCCAAATATAAAAAGAAGCAGGTCAGATTTCTATACTTACTGTTGAAGAAAAATATGGCAAAGAGAGATTTTAGATAATATATCTAGACCCCAAGTGACATAGCCTTTGCCAGATTACCCATATCATGAGATATCATTAAAAACAGAGTCTCAATACAAATGTCCATTTATTTATCTGTACTCAGAGCAGTAATAGAATTTTGCATTTTGAAGGGGAACCTCAGGTTTTCCAGAGGCTTACAGGAGTAGTTTTATTGTTTTGAGTGGTCTTTTTCTTCAGGAAATTCAGGGGAGCTGGTTTTATAATTACCAGCCTCCCCAGAATATGCCCCTCTCCTCTACACAGGTCTTGTCAAAGGAAATGGTGTGATCTTGCCAAGATTCATAGACTGGGCAAGCTCTGCAGACCTGCTGGGTTTTGCTGCTAGTGCTAGTCATATGAAAATTTGAATGACCATTTACCATGTAGGGTTTTTATAACTTTTCACTGTGTCCCTTGAGGAAGGACCAGTTTAATGGTTCTTCATGAACTGGAAATAAGGCTTGTGTTTTGAGGGAGCATAAGGCTCCCTTCTTACCTCTCTACCAGCCTTTTAATTTCCCAAGGCGACTTTAGATATCTCTCCGGTGTCCTTTACAATGAATGACAGAAACCTGCTTGAGAAGATAGACCACCTCTACAAGTTTTAGAATTTCCTGTTTGTGTTTTATCTTATTAGTCAGCAAGCTCAATTTTTGCTAGATTGCTGCATGGACATGTAGAATCAGAAAGGCATATTTGGAGTCTATACAAATATTTAGCTTTTTGCCTTTTTCCTAGTACCAGTGTGTAAGGGATATGAGTTCTGCTTTTTGAAGAACACTAAAGGTAGGAGTTTGGCCTCGGTGACCTGTTATATACCCAACTTTTTGATGTCCTTCTTGGACAAAACTACTTGCGTCAATGAACCATACCTCCCCGAAGGGCAGGTCAGTGATATCCTATCTGCTACATAGGTCTGGAAAATCACATGTTCACAGAGTGGCTACACTCTGTGGATATCAGTGAAGCAGGATTAAGAATAGTACAAGTGGGGATTGGGAAGTGACAGGGTCTCATTATGTAGTACAGGCTGGCCTTGAACTCATCAGAATCCTCCTGCCTCTGGCTCCTAAATAATGAAATTGCAGGAGTGCACACCACGCCCCACTAAGTGTAGTGTAAGTCTTTATGGCAACTTCAGGTGTCTAGAAGCATGATGTGGAATAGTCCCAAAAGGCAAAATCTGCATTAGCTTTTATCAGAATTAGGGCATTGCCTCCAGTTTTGATAACAAATGCCTTCCTCGGAAGGAAATGGGGTGTGGTGGGACAATTGAAACTCATGGGTGAACATTTGAATTGACATATCAAAGCAGGAGTAAAGAAGCTCTGAATAAAGCTCCCCTCAAGCCCAATTATGGCTATTGATCAGAAGGAGGACTTCCCAGAGAAGGAAGTTAAATTAGAAGCCAAAGGAATTAAAATTTCTTACCCGTTAATTCTGGGTCACCCAGGGTTTCTCACAGGAGAGGGAGACATTTATCAACAGGAGGGACATTGCAGGTTACCTTGGGCCTCTTCAGTCCTCTTGATCAGAATGGGAGGGTTTTGGTTTTGGAGGGTTCCAGCCCCTTTCTGGGAGCAGAAACAGTCAATCCTTCAGTGCTGTGAGTCAGGCACATCAAGCCACCTGACACTTGGAGCAGGGCCCAGGCAGCAGCTTGGTACAGTTGTGTGCCAGGGTCCAGTTTTCTCACATTTAGAACAGGAGCTCTTTCCTTAATTGTCCTTGGATTTTCCCTTAGACAACTTGGGAATGTTTAAAGCATTGACCATTGCAACAACTATAATTAGGTCTCTTCTCCTTTCACCTTCATCTGGCTCCATGTCCCCCAAAATCCTCATGTAGTTATAGGTGGGGCTTTTTCAGAGATGGCTAGATCTACAGTGTGTGTAGATCTGTACACACACTGTACAGATGTACAGTGGTGTCATGATTGATTGATTCATGGTGCAGTGCTAGGGTCAAGTACACTAGGGTTAAGGGTGTGAGTGCTCCCTGCCCTAAGTAACCTGGATAATATAAGGGATAGAGAAAACTGTGCTCATCCCATATTGCTTTGGTACCCTCTGCCTGCCATAAACTATTTTTCCTCTGTTATGCTACCCTGCCTTGGAACCAGCCGATTATGGACTGAAACCTCTATGACCTTCCTTCATCAAGTATTTTGTATCAGCAACCAGAGGGACTAAACTCTGATGAAAACTGGTAGGAAAGGCTCATATCTCCATTAGAGACAGGCATCTGAGGATAGGATCATCAAAGATACCATTTTTCCCCCTTTGGAGACCTCTTTAACTACCATAGTTCTTGGGACTTTCCAGAGATAAAGAGCCATA